GATTTTCTGGATTTTCGGGGTGGATTCTTGGGTGATAAATTCTTTATATAAAAAGTGCATTTTTGAAGGGGGCAGGGGCCGATCTCGGGGGTCCCCCCATTCTGGGCCGAAACTACAAGCGGACTGCGGCCTAAACTACAGACGTTTATGGTTTTTCGGTGTGGATTCTTGGTGGTGTTTTCTTAGTTTATATAGCAAAGCCATTTAATAATGGTCCGGGTGCCGATGATGGTGTACGTCCCATTCAGGGCCTAAGTCACAAACAGGCCTGGCGAGCCTAAGGTGAGCCGGCATACCTTCTTTTCTATCAACTAGGCAAATTGCGGACTTCGGTCTGTACACTGTGCAATGGGCCATCTTTATTCTGTCCTGATGTAATGTACATGTTCGCTTGCTCGAAACTACGTCTGTTAGTGTAACACGACGAAGCCGGTCTGGTTCAGTCGGATCTCATCATATTATGCACCGCCGTGAGGAAGACGCTGGCCCACTCACGAAATGTTATATCTCCTCCTGCTGGATCAGGTAATGTTTCATTCAGTGATGGATGTCGTCTTAGCTCATCATCGTAGTAGCCAAGGATGAAGTTGTACAACGCCATTCGGTCGCCCTGTTGTACGAGACGAAGAAGAGATCGAATCAAGTATAATTGATGTTCCCAAGCACGCTTGCTAATGGTATCATCATGAGCGGAAGGTAGGAGACGATGGAATGTCGGATGCGTTTCAAAGGTAGTTGCATGCATAGCAGTCAAATGACGAAGTGCCGCTTGGCGATGAGAAACCGCAGTCTGGATTGCATGTCCTCCTGCAGCCACAGTTCTATTTATGTCCTTGATCCCTGCCACGGCATCGATGACTCGCAATTTGTCAAGAAAGGTGTGTATCCATGCGCCAGGGTTGTGCTCGAACCATGTTATCTCCGGGAGGTCGTCGATCAAGTACCTGTCGTCCTCCAAGAGCTCGGTGTAAAGCCTGCGGGCATCAAACCACATACGAGCGGGGTCCGGCACCTCGAGGGAGAGGAGTAGTGTGTGTGCTCGGTGAATGTGACGCCGCCAGGGATCCTGGCATGGGTGATCGTCACGTGGATCTGGCAAGAGGCAATGTGCCAAGGGATAGCATGACAGCACACCTCGATGTCGATCTCGCAGCTCACGTATTTCTTCAAGGCGTTGGGCCCGCAGCTCCACACTGACTCGCACATCCATTTGCGATGCTATGGCGGGACGCATGTCAAGGGCAGGCTGCTACACTGACTACGACGAAGCCTCTCTCTTTCCTGCGGAAGGCACGGACAAGTTGCAGCACATCTTGCCGTCGGAGCTCAGGTGCGTGGTTCATGACGCACGAGTGTCAGCACGAGTTTTGATTCATGTGTGGCCTAGCAGGACATTATTAATTATTATGACGTTTCACCACGACAGTCGAGGTTTCTCACGGACTTCGATCTGCTCACCTTGGATTACCCGTGTTGATCGTCAGTGATGTATATGCTGTACAAATAAATCAAAAGCTGTTAAAGCCCGACGAGGTTCAAGGCACTGCCTGTCTGTACCGGCTGTCTGACAGCCTGCGATACTTACTGTAGCGGTGTGGTGTTGCACCTAAAGGGTCGAAAGGCCCCAGGCGTGCCTGACATGACCGCGTGCAGAGAGCTCCAAGATTGCAGGAATATGTACGGTGCGTCGCTGCTTCGCTACTTGACCAATTTCGCAGCCCGTGAAATGCGGAGGCCCTTTTGACGCCGGGCTTTAGCACTAATCGCAGCATCTTGCCGGGGCAGCTCTGTACTTGCACTGCTTCCAACGGTGCTGCAAGGCACGCTAGTGCTGCGAAACGAGTAGCGAGTAGCGCCTGGTCGGTCATGAACTCGAGCACCATCGAGCAGCAACGTTAAGTTTCGTGGCGGCCGAATTGCTCTCGTCCGACCCGGACTTCAGAGGACTCCCAGCTGCAGCAGCAAGGCTCCCTCTGCATTTTCGAACCCGGCAACGCGACGCCACATCTCCAGGAGCATCTGTCGGCGCGTCGCGTTCAGCCGGCGTGCCGCCTGCACCTGGCTTGTACTGTCAGGCACTATCAGGCATGTTTTGTCCTTGTGCGACTTTCATTCTCTTGGATCCCGGCTGCGTACCAAAGCTGCACCAGCTCGTTGGCGGCGGGTAGCGGAGGAAGAAGGAGTCGCTCGGACGGCACGGCCACGGGAAGTGGCTCCAGCAAGATGGGCGGCACGCGAGTCGGAAGTGTGAGCGGCTCCACGAGAAAGGATGCCTCGCTGTGGTGCAGTCGGCACTCTGTACACAAGCCTTCCTCCAGAGCCCACGCCCGACTAGAACCGTCATTCCGAGGCAGCGGCCACCAGCTCCGCCAGCCTTCCGTGCCGCCCGCCACGAAATATGCCCATGAGAGTCAAGACTTTGAGGACCGGAACGGACTGAAGAACCCGCGCGTAGGCGCTCGCAAGCGATATGAAGTTCCGTTCCAACGTCAGGGCCATCCGGTCCTCCAATTGAAGGCAGCTCAGTCCTGGCGCCCACTGCAAGAGAAGCACACAGCTGGAATTCCGCCCGTTGCGGTGTCCTGGCCTCGTGCCCATGAGTGGCGTCGTGCCAAGGACGACATGTTGTCCGCGTCGAAGCACCGCATGTGTGCGGCTGGTCAAGGACGCAGGGGCTGTTAATGGCGGTTTCGCTGCGTAGCTGGCTGACCGCACTCGGGACGAAGCCTGCGAGCCGCCAGGGCAGCAGCGATGGTTCATCGCAACCGAATCATGTGCTTGCGTGCATGCTTTGACAAGAATCTCTCGCTCCATGTGCTTTCTGCGGGTCTCTTGGGCTCTTTTTTCTGCTCGGTTGTCGCGTCAAGATTCACTCGAGAAGAAAGTCGATATGACTGCTTTCTGCCTCACTCATCTGGCCAGAAGTCCTAGCCAGGTCTAACAAACGGATTCGTCAAGTACAGATTTAGCTCCGAGGCTGGAGCGCAGTCGTCGGTTGTATTTCTCACGGGATCGTAGGCAATCCAGCCGCGCACGAAGCGACAGCAGGTCTGCACCTGTCCAAACCAGAGGTGCGAAGCCTTAGCACACCAGCTTACCACACTAAAACAGGGCGGCTTCACGCCATCGTACATGTACCATTGTTGACCCCAGCGCCAATAATAGCGTCCGTCGCTCCTATGCAGGGAAAGCTCGATGATCCGGACAGATTTGCCGTCATGACGTAGCCGCCCGCCTTGCTCTGAAAGGCCTGCCAATGTTCTCCTCCTCCGCGGACATCATGCTCCCCATCCTGACAAGCCGTGTTGCCTACTTATCTGACAGGCCCTTGAAAGTCTCGGGCTGCTCTGCCCCTGTGCATGGCTTCAGCTTTCCAGCAAACCAGCGTGCGACTCCTGACTACATGTGAGGTGCACGAAATCGAAACCGCATGCTGCCTGCGCGTGCACCCTCGCTGCTGTGGCGCGCTGCTCGAGAAACCCTTCTACTTGAGCCAATCTTCCACGATGCTTGTGTTGGCACGACACATTGCCAGCCAGGTCGTTGAGTTACGCCGCTTACTCTTGCAGCTCCTCTAAACACCAAGACTTTACCACACTCTAACCTGCTGCATGCTTTCCCGTCGAACACATCCGATTAATTTGGCAGGCACTCCAAAGCCTTTTCGCCCTTCTTGCGAGCTGTCCGTGAACGGGCCGCACGGCCTCGCTTCCTGTCTTACTGCACCCGCGTCGTCTTGACCTTTTTCTTACATTGGCAGGTGGCATCGGATGCCAGCACCTCACGCGAGAACACTTTCGTTGCGGAGGCGCTGAAAGCACTTAACGCGACTCCGGACTGTCTTCCCGCATTTCATTGGATGCCGCCAGAAGAAATCTTTCGTCAGTTCCAGGTTGAACTCCAGAGGCCTGCCCTTTGGCAGGTCCTCTCGCCGTGCCCAGAGCTCGATTGCTGTGAGCTCCTCCTGAAGCCACTCCGCGGTCCTGGCGTGAGGTTGCTGCCCTTATCTCTCACCCTTCTTTCTCGTTCTCCTCTAATTTGGCTTAGGGGCTTCGTCTCCGGCTTGAAGCTCCAGGTCGTTGGCTTGCCGAACTCGTCATTGGCCTGGGCCTGACCGCTCTCCATGTAGAGTGGCTGTCCTTCCTCTTCCCATACCTGTCCGGAGGCATCTTGACATTGGCACAACTTCATCTCTTCGCTATCTCTCTCCACTCTTACTGTCTCTCCCAGCTCGACCCCGCCTGCAAGTGGTAGTTCATTCTGCCGGTCTTGTGATGCCGCCACAGACATATCTTCAGTTCATGCCACTCTCCTTGGCGTGCCCGTCTTCCAGAGTGAGAGGTTGCCCTCACCCCCAACTATGGGGCCAAGCCACGGCCGGTCTCCAGGACGAACCTGGCCCGGAATATGGTGTTCGGGTGCATAGCTGTCTCCTCCCGGTTGTCCTGCAAAGCACCGAGCCTAAGAAAGAACTTTCTGTCTGTATCTCTCTACTTCAGTCCACTCCCTCCCTCGATCC